CCTAATATTTGCAAAAGTGGGAGAACACATGTGAATGGAATTTTGTTGAATAGTGACAGTGAGAGACTATTACAACCCATATAAAAGATTTTCATTGTTACCACTTATGAGGACAGACATGTTCATTAATTTCATTTACACAATACAAAATTAAAATGCAGGAAGAAATTGGTGTGTTTCTTTGCCTAGCAACTAGGCAAGAAATACAAGCTATATATACATGGTTTCATTTTGTCTAGCTACAGTATATTTCTTTACAAGAGTATACTGTATTATTCAAAGTACTGTATTATTTTGTATCCATTCACTAGGTTTATTACTGATCACAATTATTTTTTTCTGATTAAGCAGTCTTGTGGCTATGAAGTGGCACAAGTAATTTCACTAAACACTGAGATAAAATCCAAACATTTCCCAACTGTGAAGGTACTTGCTTATATCTGGTATTTGGTGTTTGCTGTGGACTATAAAGTGAAACCAAATTCTTCCTGAGAAAATTGCATTTGATAATCATGTTCTACCAACTTGACCCTATTTATTTATTTCATGGAAGTAATCAAGAAGTGCCTGAATTCACAAGGTATTTATTTCTCATGATCTCTCTCCCTCTTACATTCAATCTCCCTCTCAGCTTTCCTTTGAAGTATTAGAAATAACTAGCAAACATCATAATTTAATGGTGGTGGTGGTGGTGTGCTTTCAAGTCGTTTCGAACTTAGGGTCACCATAAGTCCAAAATGACTTGAAGGTACAGAATCTAACACAAACTTATCATGGGGTTTTCTTAGCAAGTTTCTTCAGAGGAGGTTTGCCATTGTCATCCTCTGAGGCTTAAGATTGTGACTTGCCCAAGGTCACCCAGTGGATTTCCATGGCTGAGTGTGAATTCGAGCCCAAACTCCAGTCATACTCCAACACTCAGACCAGTGCTGATTTGGGGATTTCAGCAATAAATATATTTAAGAATGCCTTGCTTTATCCATTCTGAAGAAATTTGTATAAATTTCTTATGCTTGGGTATTGTTCTGTCCTTGAATCTGTGGATCTCTGCACATCAAGGATTATATGTGAATATATAAGATCCCTCCTATAGTAATTAAGGTCAAACATGTCCACACAAACACTCAGGTTAACAGCCCATTTTCACTTCTCAGGTCTTGTTCTGAGAAACAGGAGGGTTAGGAATAAGAGAGGAATTAAAGTGATACACTCATCCCTCCACATTTGTGGATTTGACTTTTGTGGATTTGAGTATTCATGGATTTTATTAATATGTTCTCTCTAGGAATTTCTAGGTCCTCCAGCACAACTGTATAGTCAACTTTAACCCAAAGTCGCACTGATGGACCTAGAGATTCCTAGAGAGAACACTCCTCTAGGGCAATTCTGTGCTCAATGTCTGGCAGATGTTGGACACTAAGTTAGTTGCACTGGAAAACCTAGAGATTCCTAGAGAGGTATTCTCTCAGGTAAAAACATAGTGTTCTTGTTGTTTGTGGTTTTTCCATATTCATGTGAGTCCTGTGCCCCTAACCCCAGAGAATGTGGAGGGACGAGTGTAGTTGTAGTCAAGGTGTTTATAAAGTCAAATACTAAGCATTTAGCTATACCTGACTGATTGCATATGTGAGGCAATGAACTCTAGTTTAAGGAACTAGACACTTGAAACCTATTGCTTTCAAAATCCAGGAGAATTAAAAAGATTGGTCAAGAAAAATCAGCCAAAGGGAATAAACAGACTGGTTATTTCTCATTAACAAAATAAGAAGTGAGCTGTTTGGGATCACATTATGAATTGCCTCATCACCAAAGCCTGTTTTACTTTCCACAGCCTTTCTTACATGCAACCCAAACACCTTTGGTTAACAAACATGTAATTATGTACAGTATCTTAGGTTTCTAGATCAAATAAAATGTTCCTCAGTCCATAGCCAGAAAATATATAGTGTTCTTTTGTATAGGAAGTCACACAAGCTGATCTAGAGCCCAGCAGCTGTTGTCTGAAAAAGTATCTTTTCCAAGCTCTGATAGGGATTCAGCAGCTTGTAGCAAGCAATCTAACTTCCAAAGGCTATGGGATGTTAGGACCTTAAATGGCAGAAAGTACATAGGTCAGAACATAATTTAGGAGAAATGTGTTTGTGTTTTACCATGGAAGTAGCTCATTTTTCTTTTTCTTAAACAGTGAATATTTATATATTTTCTTGCATCTGACTTGGGAGTAGGTGCATGCATAGATCTTTAGCAGACTGCTTTAACTGATGAGAGAAACTTGATGGAAAATCACCCTAGAGATAAGTTGGAGTGGGGCTTAATGGAAAGTATTTTTTTTCTGGCAAAGATGACCCATCACATACCTGTTTATGCAAATATATAATACATTATCTTTCAACAGAAATGTTGTGGAAAGTAAACATATGCTTGGTTTATGTCATTCAGTCTTGTCTCCTTCCTTAGCTGTTATTGGTACAGTTTCTCATGGTTATTCGTAGAATAATGGCATTCTGTGGTCATTTTTATAGTGATGGAAATTGCTAAGTCCCTGTCTGATTACACTATTGGGTGCAAATGTTATGGAAGTATCCCCTAATGGGGACAGGATGATGAAATTAAATGTGTTGTTGTTTTTAAAGCCATAGAGAAAAACATGTTCTGCTTCATATTCTCCTTCCACCCTTTTTGGAAAACAAATCTGTGAAAATGTCAGCCATAGATTTTTAAACAAAAACGTATCATTAAGATAAAATATTTTTTTAAAAAAGCTTTTTTTCTTACCCCAAATCTTCCTTTTTCCATTTGTGGGTTATTATAATCAAATGGAAAATTGCTCCAGACTTCTTGAGTCCATCCCTTCCCACCCCCCAGTAGGAGGGAAGAAAAATCCACTGCTTTGCCAGGCAAAATAGTTTAAGTCTGAAGTTTGAAGATCAAGTGCAGGTCAAGCTTTTGGCCACACTTGGAAGAGTAAGAGGAAGGCAAGAGGGATAGAGTTTCCCAGTGAAAAGAACAAAGGATATGTAAATTCTGAGACAGAAAGAATCTGGAGAACTTTGTTGCTGTGTATGTGAATTGATCTTTCTTACCATAATAGTTGTGCTGATTTCCTTTTAAGCTAAGGAACAAGGTGCTTTTAAGCCTGGACACTCAAAAGGTGGAAATATATATTACATCTGTCTATGTGTGTTTATGAACCAGTGCTTATTGAGAATACAAATGGAGGGCTATTGAAAATAAATCAGCTGGACAGAGTAGTATTCACCTTGCCTATACCTCATGATTCTTCCTGAAAATGCACCACCTTGTCTACCTACATTTGTGCATCCTTCCTGATTTAGAAACTTATTGGGGCAAAATGGACTAAAAAGAATCTCGGGCTGGATGTTCAAGTAAGTAATTTATGTTTTTGAAAATAAAAAGTTTTCCACAATAAATGAATCAATCTAAAATATAATTGAACATTGGGATACATTTGTACTCATGTACATCTTGTGCAAAGTAATGGATTTTAAAAACTAAATATTTACAGCATGGCATTTTGATTTGCTGATTATATATATACACAGACACGCACACACATTAATAAACAGATGAAAAATATATTAAATGAGCAAAATGTTTCTACTTCCACCTTCTTCAGCTGCTAAAGATGAAACTGAGCTACATCTTGGTAGCTTAGAACACTCTTATTTCCAGCATTCTTCAGTGGATAATGGTGTTATGGTCTTGTATCTATAAATCCAAAAAGTTTCATTTTTGTCCAAAATGTCAGGGAAAAGGCACCTCATTACCAAACGAGGACAAAACAGATACGTTATTTGAGCTGAAATGCCTGGCCACTGGTTGCTCTAGTTTCCTAATCAGATTCTAGATTTATGCTTTCTGAAGTGTGTATGCAGGTCTCTGGTAATATGTGACCAAGCACCAGTTAAAGAAGACTCAAAATAAATCTTCTTTTATTTGTAGGAGGAACACCAGTCGTTTAATGTGCACTTGTGATAAATTGTTGGAAAAATACCTCATCCAGTTTTGAGAGACCAAAAAAAGAAAAGTCTGCTAACTTTTCAATATATGTAATTATTCTTTTCTAGGACAGTACTATTAACTTGCCACGTTAGTTGTTAGTCCCCTGAGATTGCTTACCTATATCTCTTTCTATTACATACCTGTATCTATTTCTATTCTAACAGAAATTGGTGCTGGCTAGAGTAATGCTGTGCTAATGCATGAGGTTTCATAGGCCATATTTAGCAATGAATAGTAACATTATGGTAGCTAATATGGTACATAGTACAGTGTGACCAAGAAAATGGATCACAAGGAGATTGCAGTTGAATTTGATTTTAAATGTGCTGTTGTAGACAATGTTCATACATATGTATATTTAAAAACTACTTTATTATGGGAGTGTAACTCTGGTGATAGTACAGCAAACTACACAGAGTGTAATTCTGCAAACATTTTTGCCACACCCAGGCTCTGTATGTCCACTTTACAGTGTTAAAAGAAAAAGAATGTGTCTGCTTCAAAGACACTTAAAAAGTAAACTGTTCAGAGTTGATTCTGGATTGTCAAGGGCTTTCTCTAAAACAGGTGTGTTGCTATCTGTTATCTATATATTTTGTAATGCAAATAATAATAATTATTTTTTTTAAAAAATGGTAAGCACTATCTTTTTGAAAAGTCATTCTCTCCCCCCCCCCCATTCTTTTCCCCTCTCACATAAGAGAGGAGGATATGTGGTTATTCAGATGATTCCTATAATGAGAGTTGCATGCATAATGTGAAAACAAAGGAAATTATTTGCAGTTCAGAAATATTATTTTACCCATGTGCAGTTTTAAGGAAATGTAATCACCTGTCTAATAGATAAATTACCTACAGTTTTTGAATCAAACTGTATTCCCCATTGTTAGGGAATTTGTGCAGCTGGTGGACCTCTCTGATGGTCTCTTGCTATGATTAGCTATTGAGATTTTAAAGGCAGGCAGGAGGAAAGGAGAGCCAGCATGGCATAGTGGTTTGTGTGTTGGGCTGCAATTCTGGAGACCAAGGTTCGATTCTTGAGTCAGCCATGAAACTCACTGGGTGACCTTGGGCAAGTGCCATGCTCTCAGCCTTAGGGGAAGGCAATGACAAACCTGCTGAACAAATCTTGGCAAGAAAAGCCCATGATAGCTTTGTCTTAGGGTCACCATAAGTTGGAAACAACTTGAAGGCACACAACAACAAACAACAACAACAATCCAGCATGAACATTAAAAAAGCAGGAGAGGGGAGGGTGACTGGGATGGAAAATGTGGCATGCTTTGAAATGAGTTGTGGGGCAATGATGGGGGTATGTGAAAATGAGCAATGACAGCGGAGAAATCACATGTTGATTTGAAATAAGCAGCCAGATCTTTAGCTAGAGGTCTTTAGTCTTCTGTAATTGCCCCTGTTGCATAACAAGAATTAACAATAAGCAGCCTAATGGAATTTTAGGACATAGTATACTGTAGCAGAACTTTAATGCAAGCTTTTCAAAATAAAACCCATTTACTCAGCATTTTTCATGGCTTACTCTCATTATACATTACTTTTTTCCTGCTGGCAAATTCTTGGTACTGGTGTAGGTCAAGGTCTTGGCTGCTCAGTGCTGGGGTCTTTCCAAAGTGTGTTGAAATCTTAATCACTTAAAAAGGACAGCAATATGTCCTAACATTAAAACCTGTGAGTATTAGATACAAGTTTAAGTAGTTTCTTCAACCCTCTTATGGAGCTAGATTTATTCTTTTTTCCCCATACAGAAATATGAGTCTCTATGGCTTCAGAATGTCTTGTTGTTGTTGTTCTTTTTGTTGTTGTGTCTCCAGGTCATTTTTTAAAACTTATGACAACCCTATCATAGAGTTTCTTGGCATCTTTCTACAGAAGGCGTTTGCCATTCCCATCCTCTGAGGCTAAGAGAGTGTGACTTGCCAAGGTCACCCAGGGTTGTTGTTTTTTTTATGCTTGAGAGGTCAGCTAGGCTGTGGGAATACAGCTATAGGCTAGAAACCTTGCTTTGCCTTTGTTTCGCTGGCTGTGACATCACAAAGCACATTCTGCTGTAATAGTCACCAAATGGTGCTGAAATCTTGCATATCAAGTGGGTTAAATATTTTGATTGCAGTTTGCAGATCTGAGAGAGGGTGAGTGACCACAGGAATAATGGTATAAATGTACTTTCTGTAGAAGTCCGATGCAGGAAGAGCATGGGTGGTGGTGGTTAGGATGAGAAGTTAAAACTGGCAGTGAAACATGCTAAGTAATTATGTAAGCTGTTGAAACACATTTCTAAAGAAATGGTAAGATCTGCTTTCTTCATTGTACTACAGTTCTTTCATAAATGGCCATTTTGTGCTCATTTGCGCTATTGGACAGATAGGAGCAGCTAATAAATGCAGACTAGCTCTTCAGCAACTCACTACATGACATTGGTAGCAAAATGGCAAGGTAACTCCTTTAACAATTGCTCAAACCTAACATTACTATAGTTAGATTTGCTGGATTTCCCAACAATTCTGCAGGAGTGGATTTTAAGTAGGGGACAATACTGGGAGTGTTGGAGAAAGAAAGGATTTATGTTGTCCTTTCTTTCTTTTCAGAGATTACAAGTTTAATGCATACCTTGATTTTCTAACTATGCAGTAATCATTTTAAACTGCTTACCATGTTACTCAGTTGTCAGAATCCACCTATTTTTCAGTGCCTTACTCTTTTCATAGAGGTTTTACTGACCACTGGTTTAATGACTTCTGACTGCAACCCTCTGTTGACCATCACCACCCTCCAATTTAGTAAGATTTTTTTGAAATTGACAATTTGGCAGATTATGGCAGCATTATGATATCAGTTTTGAAGTAACAATAAAAAATATTAACAATAAGAATCATAACCATAAACATAAGTATGCTGCTCAAAAATTCATTTGGTCACTATCAAATGTCACTGAAAATCTACCCATTCTTAAGGCAGCATCACATGTTATAACTACTGGGGTATAATATTATTGGTGTTACACTAGTGTTTCCTGCAAGGGTAAATATAATAGATGCATGTACACAGACACACATGTTCTGAAACATCCATGTTGGAATCTGAAATTGGTCAGGCTTCCTATTGGCACTAGTAAGGAGACTGTACATTATGTGTTTGTTGTACAAAACATGACTTTTTCTCAGAGCATCTGTGATATGTATTGCTTGCCAAGGTGGTTGATGAATATGTAATGCATATTTGTGCTTTGGGGACAGAGTGTAAAATCTGAGTACATTCAATGCCTAGTCTAGACCAGACAGAAATGATTCAGCTCATGCTGGTTTCCTGTTGTTCCAAGTGGTTAGTTGGGCACTATGCACTGCACAGTTTGCCTGACCCAATTTCTTAGAGTTAGCACAGAGATCTCCCCTGGGGAAAGACACCTACTTTCATAAGCCACTTCCTACACTCTGCTTCTTGCAGCATGCTCCATACTATATGGCATGTTACCCGCAACACAGGAAGCCATTGTCTGGAGATTGGCAGATGTTTACAGGCAACCCCACACCCTTCATCCATTAGGCAGTGCTAATGGCAACTCACAGTTTTGTTGTTGTCATGTGCCTTCAAGTCATTTCTGACTTATGGCGATCCTAAGGTGAACCTATAATGGGGTTTTCTTGGCAAGATTTGTTCAGGGGAGGTTTGCCATTGTCTTCCTCTGAGGCTGAGAGCATGTGGCCAAGATCATCCAGTGGGTTTCATGGTCAAGTTACATACCTTCAGATAATTACTTTCCTCTCTTCATTGAAATATCTTTACAAAAAATTGTTGTTGAAGGTTGCTCTTAACACATTCAGGGCACAGTGCCATTGGCCTCCTTCACAAGAATCAATCAATAAATTCCTTGGATTTTATTATTGGCTCCTATTCTAAGCTATTCATGTGAGAGATGAGTTTGCCTTATGTGCAACCTGTGGGATAGGTTTCCCCTCCCACAGTGCTTCTTGACATATGATGAAAATATTACAGCTGATGAACAATTATAACCATCTAGAGGAAGATGTTGAATGTGGCAGATTCTGCAATATATGATGTAAAATTCTGGCTGTATTATGATGATTCCAGAACATATTTTAATGGGTCAGAATATGTTACAGGGTGGGTGGGTTTGCTGGTGGCTCAAAAACTAGGCTAGCCAGTGGTTAAAAAACTGAGGACACATTTATTGAGTTCTGTATCAAATATAACAACTGAAAAAATTGCCAGCATGCCACTAGGCAGGAGATTAACGAAGAAAAATCTGGCTTTCTCTAGCACATAGGTGTGGTTTCTCTTTTGTTTGTGTGCTTTTTCACAGTTTCTTGCCCACAGATCAATGGCAGCATTTTTGTTTCTAAGGAACATTTAATATTTGTTAGTTACACACTACAGAAACGTAGGACAGTGTTTTTCCTTTCTTCTTCGTGTTGCATGCAGTAATTCTAGGCTTTAGACCATTATTTATTGTAATAATAGTAAACATACTGTGGATGCTTGTGACCAAACAGTCTCCACATACATTACCTTATCTTAAGGACCGCTTCTCCCTGTATGATCTCCCCCATGCCCTTCGGTCCTCTGGGAGGAATCTGCTACAGCCAATAAAAACTAGGCTGTCTCAGACCTCCCTTCTCTGCAACTGCTCCCAGACTTTGGAATGGCCTGCCAGACGAGATCCGTCTCATTACTACTCTTGCTGCTTTTAAAAAAGCAATAAAGACGGATCTCTTCTGGCAGGCCTTCCCAGAATAACTGTTGTCTGGTGGGAGATGAGCCTTCATTTTGTTTTTATTATTATGATTCCTTGTTTTATTGTTTTTGTTTTATTGTATTGTTGTATTTTAACTTTCTTCTAGTTTAATTCTTTTTTTAAGGGGATGGGAGGGTTGGATTGTGGGACGAGGGAATGTTTTAACTTTGTTTGTTTTAAAATGTTGTAACCCGCTCCGATTGCCAGGCAAAGGGGCAAGCTATAAATAAAAAAAATTATTATTATTACCGAATGTGTGATCAGTTTTTTGTTTTGTTTTTGTTTTTTAAAGGACATTTCCTTTTAAAATGCCTATTTTGTTTGGAAACTGAACAAGTCTATCATAGGAGTTGTATCTTGCTTGTTGACCTAGAGCTGATTAAATCCTGGACTGAATCTAAACACACAGCCATTTTTTCTGGGATGCTCAGAGAGATAGAGTAGGACAGTGATGGCGAAACTTTTAGGGGCCAAGTGCCTTTTAGGGGCCTGATCTCCGGGGGTTGAGACTTCTGGGGCGGGACTTCTTCTCCCCCTTCCCACCTTCAACTAGTGGGCCTTCAACTACCTCTCCAGAGACAGCTGAAGGCCCAGGAGGGCGAGTGGAGGAAGAAGAGGAACAGATGTGTGCCTGTTCCTCCTCCTCACCCTCACCCTCCCGGGCCTTCTGCTGCCTCCAGAGAGGCAGCTGAAGGTCTGGGAGAGAGGCAGTTGAAAGCACAGGAGGGCAGGCAAAGAGGAGGAACTGGAGCACAACTGTTCCTCCTCTTCCCCACTCTTCCATCTCTCCACTTGTCTTCCAAAACGGCTTCGCAGGCCAAAGATGGCACACATGCCGTAGGTTCACCAACACGGGACTAGGATCTGCCCCTCCTTGGCTATTCAAGTAGAGGGCACCATGGTTGCATGTTCTGTGTGATTTATTTATATTGCAGATAATTAGTAACTTTACCTCATTTCACTATTTTGTTTCTGCAGCTGTGATCACTATGAAACATGTAGAAATAGCAGAATAAGTTTTGAAAATAATGGAGTCAATTAGATAACTATGTACCATTTGTGTAGGCAGCTTTTGTTATGGGGTACTGTTGGCCCTTATCTTATTTCTGATTTATTAAAAACTATAAATAGAAGGGTCTCAGTAAAGCATGATTGTTTAATGTGCAAATGTTGGCATGCATAATGTCTTTCACTAGATATTTATATAGCTTACTTGGGGTACATTTGACTGCCCCCAAATGTATTGATAGTCAGCTCTTCTATGCAAGTTAAAAATACCA